GTTTTATTCCTTTTGGGGGAAGCAATTCCAGGGCAACGGGGGGGGGTACTTCCTTTATAGCTGTATTAAGTTCATTTTACAGCTCGTGGGCTTAGAGTCATGAAATGTTGAGAAACCATGCAGCCAATCTGCAGCTATTTGACTGTGTCTGGTAGATGATTCTACATATATGAGTGTCATAGGTCTCATTGATTTATTTTTATCAGACTGTGAGTGTATATTTAGCAAGTTTGTGATGGGATTTAATTGTAATTATGTTATTTTAAATGCAGGTATCTAATCTAATTCTGATTTTTATCATAAACATTGTAATTCCTAATACTGTGGGGAAAAGATTATAAGGAGTATTGTAGAATATATTCAAAGTTTCACCTTAAAGATAGCATTAAGCAGACTACTTCCTCTTCAGAGATTTAGACTATGGTATGCTCTAGCCACTTCAAACATGCAGTAAAAAATACTCTAAGAACCAAACTAAGAACCAGATGCAACAAATGCATTTCATTTCAACTGATCCCAAGTTTATTAACTCTTTAAAACCCAATTTTGCACATCTGACTAGTCTATCAATTTTCAAAGGGCACTGTATTTGAAACTATGAATGCTTTCATTCATTTGGTCAGGGGAATCACTGTCAAGCAACCTGAAATGCAACATTTAATCTAACTTTGTATCTGGAAGAGGAACAGAAATCAGTAAAGGAAAATGTTCATTCACTACCTTCGTAAAAGAACTCAAAGGAACAATGACCATCAGGTAAGTCTATGCAAAAGAACGTGTAGGCATAACTGAAAGTACTACAGCCTAATCACACATCTAAAAGCAAGGCATGTTCAAATGAAATGTCTACAGACTCATTAGCAGGCAGCCATTCTATTATAATCATGCATAATGCCAGTAGTGCCTTGAGCCTGTGCCAATGACAACAGCATAAATTTTGCATCTCATTTCTGCAGTCATAAAATTAATGATCAGTTTAAAAATAATTCTATATAAAAAGTTGTTATACAAAGAAAAGGCACACGTGTGTTCCTACAATGTAGCCAAGAGGATAATTAAGAGGCTAATGCTCATTAAGATATCTTCCCCCAGAACATTTTGATTTATCCCAGAATTTTTTTGCTACAAGTTTCATTAATTAAACACAGTTAATGGTTACTGGAAAAATATACACTGTTCTTACATTTTTTCTTCTGCAATTTGATCTCTTATGTTCTGATAGCAGTATATTTTGAGTCACTTGTATAGTGAGTGACCTTCCTTTATTAAACAGCACTTTTTCATTTATAGTATATATTTGCTTATTGATCCAACAGATGATGGTGCTGCTCTAATACGGGAAGCTAGATATCTAAATCCATT